TATCTTTGCCCCAAACAGGCCATTGATGTTGTACGATTTGAAGATAATCGTTCTAACGAAAGATGAAGACGATTGATTGGCGTTGGTTCCTATGCATAACGAGGGTTAAATGACAAGACCGCTTAAGGAATGACTCTTCTCTTCTGGGGACATTTACCCTCGACAGATCTGAAGATAAAGAAAAGGAGGTTGGCCCTATTGAACAGACCAGCTCAGGCTCGATTAGGAAGCCGGCATGATCATGGAGGATCAAGGTGAAGGCAGATGTGCTTTCGAAGAGAAGTCTCTTCTGCGATGCAGTAATTGGTGCCTTATTGAAAAGTGTTGAATAGCTGCGAATTCAGCGGACGTCATAAACCAGAGACCTTCCGTTTATTTAAATGGCTTAAGGTGACAGTCTAAACAGACACTCATCACTCTCGCAACATATACAGACGCGCGTGTTTTTCACTGCCAAATGTTGTGTCATTGGTGGCAGCCTCTGTCGTATTAATTGACCGTTTTGGGTTAATGTCAAGGCTCGCGACTATCGCTTCAGCTGCGAAGCACGTACTGCACCGTTCTTCGTTGTGGCACATGATCTGTTACCTTGGTCGTGGTAGGCTGTTCATAGCATAGATGCCCACGCCTTAAAGTTTTTCGAGGGAGGTGGAGGCGATAATTCGCTCGAACAGTTAGACATCAATAAAACTCATGAGGAAAAAGCGAAGTCTGACATATTTTCAGTGTATGATTTACTGCGCGAGAAAAATATAGAAAAGCTTTTATCGTGTTGTTTTTCCGCTTGAAGTACAGAAGTTATTTTTATGGTTGAGCGGTTAGTAGTAATTCAAAGTAATGACTAATCACCTTTGCCTACGTTCAGCTACTGGTGAGCATAGAGAATAAGTGTGCATCAGAACCGATTGAGATGGTCTAGATTGCGGAGTTGAACGAAGGAGAGGCTTACGGGTAAACACATAATTGCAGAATTCTGTATCTTGTTAGTTAGGTTATCAGTATCAGACTTCAGATATCAATTGAGCTTATGCCTTTTTTCCCGCGGTTTTTACGATCAATGTGCCGTGTCTGTAGAGTGTTTTAGATGTCTGTTGCAAATGCTCAAACAGTTACGTTCAGCTCATCACCACCGGTAATCTTATCGAAAATAAGACTAATCACGGTATATTAACAATAACAGAGTAATTTTATCATGGCGATAAACCATTATCGACGTTTCCGTCTGTACTGGCTAGCAGGCGTATGACCTAACCCCTTGCCATGATCGTTTCATTCTGCGTTGGTCCAAAGTGCGTTTGTTTCTTCCAATTTCTATCCCTTTACATCGTTTTTTAGACGGAAGACTATTCGAAGAACATGCTAGAAGATCTGCCGCCCTTGCAGCAGTGCAAGAGATTGGAGTTTCTTCTGGCAGACTGCAAGAAACAGCTGAAGAACAGACTGGAAATGAAGTGAGCGTTACTGATCTATGCATGGACAATTGCGTTCGACGACGTGTCGATGTTTCAGGGATGGCCTGATCAAGCTACAGACGGCCTACAGCGAAACTCCAAAGTTTGGGTCCGCCGCCGAAGTTCAAACGAATCTCGAATCATGTGAGAGCGAAATCAACGTTCTGTCGATGGAACTGCAGAGACTTGAGGTATTCGCCGCCATCATCTAACTTTACCCGTTCTGTTGCTCTATCGCTTTCCATACAGATCGTGTAAACTTGCGTTGTCAAACAGGAATTTCGTGCTAACAAAGC